TATTCCTTGTCATAGATTCCTTGTCCTTTACTTCTCACCTAAGGCAAGCATTAGTAGTAAATTACTCTTCAAGATTACCAGACTTTATTCACCTAGTCTTGGCCTCTACTCACCCCATGCAATCATGTAATAATGTTTTTTCTTGACCACCTTTTTCTCATATGCGACAACAATTTTCTGATAAAGATGTACTCCCTCTACTAACATCCATAAGAACGCCACGGTATAAAAATAATGTAGCATTATTGCCACCATCATACACGGAATCTGTAAAAACAAAGATTCGAAATCCGCCAATAAGAATATGTAATAAGAGACCGTTTTATATACTTATAATGTTTTTTAGATTTAATTCGCCCAAGTTTTTCTATCCAAGCTATAGCAGGGCTCCGAACTCGATCCAAGTTATTTGCACTTGTGATCGACGTCCAGATACCTATTTTATTTCATTCTCAATTAAAAATCAGAATCCATCTACAAATATGCATCGAAAAACAAGCTGAGTGAATTATGATTAATAATCGCATTTCTTGTTTCGATTGGCATGTTGTCTAGCTTACCTTTTCTGTGACAGCATTTATTCCTGCAAGAAAAACAATCTGTGCTGCTGCGAGTGCAATGCACAGGTGAAGATGAATCTTGAAGCGAATTTCTCTTAACCTGTAATAAAAGATGGTACTGGTTAAATGAGCATCGCATCCATATGGTCACCAGCACAAGTACTAACAATAAACGAATTTCAAAAGTAGTGGTACGTCAAGGCTTTCTATTGAGTTAGTAATGGTGAAACGAGGCTTTAGAGGCCTACCATCAACACTGCGAAAATCACACACGTGACAATTTGAGAAATGCATGATATGTTATTTTTCTGTCGACTATGAGTACTTGATCAAGACGCCATATTATTTACTTCTCCTACTTTTTTACGGCATGTTTACAACTGCATATTATTTTACCAACGAACGCTGGTCTTTGAGCCTTCGTTTTAGCCTTGGTTTCGTCCCTAGTCCCCCGACTCTGACACATTTTCATTTTTGAAAGACAAGTGTATAGATTCTGTACCCTTGGTAACAATACATACCTTATGCATGGTAGTGTGCATATAGTAAGTAACAAGCAGGCCAATGATAATGAACATCCAACATAGGTGATGATTTCAAGTGCGACCTTATCAGAATGGGATATCTGTTGAAGGTACAATCGCCTCGTCACTAAAAACGTACGACCCTTAAGGCAAGTTTCGTAAATACGCAAGCTTTAACCTGTCTTTTTGCTCTCACTGTTCAAAACTGGTTATGTACATCACTGAACAACTTCCGAAACTTCATGTCATCTTTCACTTTTTTGATGAATGGTCGGATTTCGTTAGGTCTTGAAAAGAAGTCTCCAAAGTAGCTCAGTGAGATTTTGATTGACGGGAGAATAAGAACAGTCAAGTTGCGGTTTACCGTAATTTTTTTCCATATTTGCATTAAAGACCCACTTGCATCACAAACCTTTTGTTTGAAAAAAGATCTCATTTTTGATTGGTTGAAAATTGAAGATTGCGATTTCGTATTCCAGAAAATATCGAATGAACGTGGGCCTACAATGATTTTTGAATTAGATCAAAAAATGAATTCAGGGAGCCCTCTATTAGGTTTTTTTTGTACCTTGTAATCTGATGTTTCCATAAGGATAGCAAAGTTTGTAAGATGATTGGTTAGACAGGTATAGTAAGTAGCATTGGTGACATTATCATGATGGGTGTCAATCATACTAATACCACGTGTTGACCAGGCCCCTCCTAATGATATGCTGTGGACAAATGACAAAATGATCCACAAATCACAAAAAAATAAAGTTCGAAGTTGATATTACATGGGAATAACATACGACTGTCCTTATATCGTTATTTCGTATGATTATTCTCGTGTTTGACTTCATTTCTTTCTGATAATGTGTAGTGTAGAGATTATGTACAGACTAATAGCCCTCAAAAGCATTTACGTCATATACCGTTTACGTAATGCATTGTAGGACATGTTTGGGACACAACATGACGGATTTCTTTTGTTTTNTCCTTCTAAGCACTATAACTTTCTGTAAATTCTATTCATGCTTCCCATAGTGCCATGCGATCCTCATATTCATAAAAAAAGTAAAATATGCAATTTCGTCTCATTCGCGACAACTTTCCTGTCCCTGATTGTAGCTCTAATCCTAGGTAAATTGTTACAAAAAGCTATGGAGTTAACCCTTTAAAACGCTTATTCGACTTTAAACAACATGGCCCTACTTCGCGTGATGTAAAAACCATGTCTTGTAAAATGACAAAAGGCTGAGGGCATGCAATTCCTAGCACAAAAACACTCTGAAAAACTCACCGCACTTTTATCTACTTTAAACTGTAATGTTCCATTGATATTGTGGACCTCCTTCCCATCATGCCTTGCGACGACAGATAGAACAGAAGAGCCAACCGTCATGGGGGTCTCAGATAAAACTTTCCTGAAATGAAGAATCGAATTGACTTGTTAGTTTTATCAACTAATACATTTGATACATCGTCTATACACCTCATTATAAAAGATCATTTGCATTTTTGTTGGGAATAACTAATATGCGTAAAAAATTAAAGTGCTCACTACTGGAAAGATCTTTTTATTGTTTTTAAAAGCGAATTTCTTTCACAATGAATACAAATKAAATRTTTTGATGTGAGAACATGTACAGAAAACATGCATATATTTTGCGCATAAGATCATCACCTTTCTTTTGCTGATGGGAAGATGTCGTTGATTTGTTTGTATATTAATGCCGATGCGCCAATTGTACCAAGCATTGTCGGGGTGATTTGTAGTGCAGTATCATTAAAACTGATAGCAACTTGCTGACCACTGGAAAAATTTGCAACGATATCTAAAAAAAGACACAACCGGGACGTATAGATTATAAACATGGGTAAACAGTTGTGGATGTTAATAAATGCCAAAGACAACATAACTGAAACATTCTTCTCTATCTATGTCTAACCCCTGCCAAATAGCTGCCGTATAGTCGAATTGGTCCTTTAAACAACTTAGAAACAACTAATAACAGCCATTTAATCTTCTTGAGTATCCTGCTTAGTACGAATAATCTTTAATTTGTAAACTATATTTTTGTCGATCGGTTTGTTTTTCAGGTAATCTGCTTTGTTGATTTGTAATGAAAGTCAAAAATAAGCCCACATGTATTAATGACGGAAAGAGAAAAATGCGGAGACCAATAGAGACGTTAAGACGACCTATCTAGAGAGAATTAAGACCTGGGGAGAAATTAAAAGGAAAGCCAGCAGAGACAGGAAATACTGGAAAGTCTTGGTGGAGGCGCTATGTGTCACCTGGTCAAAATGGCGTAAAGGAAAAGAAGAAGCCAACCCATCAACAAATGAACCAACTCAACAACCAAGCAACAACATTATACCATAGACTATATTTCAATAAAATTTTCTTACCGATATTTGGCGTTGTATAATAATTATCTTGATTTGTTTGGTTAGCGTGTTCTAGTGACAGAAGAAGTRTTCTTCCTACATCCTCTACGAGACTGACAAGATCTTGAATCTRATAGAACAAGAACATATWGTTAGAAGATGTCTTAATTTTTGATTGCCATGGCTCATTTTTATTACAGTTCCTAACAGCCATCTTGAAAAGTAGCCCAGTCTCAGTTTTATCAAAGTGGAATAGTTGTTGAGGTTGCAGTGATAAACACATTGGACAATACGTCGTACATGACATTTTRCTCAACCACTGTRTCGCTTTGATGCAAGGCTCGGCTTCTTAATAATGTTAATACCTTTTGTGACTTTTCCCACGCGTCTTTATAAGGTTTATCGATAATTCGGCTCAAAATATCCATGAATTGATGTTTATTTTCCTAAAAATAAGATCATTTTTTACTTTTTATTAAAATGGCGGATAAGTGAAGAAAAGTTGTCCGGGGTCATCCTCGTCGGAGATATAAAGGTGCCCCCTTGGAATGATACCGCCTTTTTCATTCCTCGCGTCCGACCACAAGTCACGCCAGTTCAAACATGAATATTAAAAAAAGAGATATTTACCAGATAGACTCTCAGGTCTTGGTAGATTTCTGGCCTTTTCAAAATTTCGATGACTTTCTTGACGAGATTAAGCATTTCATCCACGCTTGTGGCTCCATTAAGATTGGAGAAAAGGTTTTTCAAAGATTGTTCACTCTTTTCTTTTAAATAGCTCATTTTAGAATTCGGAAATGTCAGTTTGTTTTCTTTGGTATCCCGGATGCTATGTTCAGTGGGCATTTCCTGAAATGAATTAAACGCCTGTAATTTGAGCAGTTGTAAGCACTTGTACAGAAATGTACGGAATCACAGTTGATTAAACTTAAAATTCCAGTGCAGGAAGGAATAACCTCGTCCCTAGGATAGAAATAATTAGAATAGCAAGGCCAGATTACTCGCAGATGACCATAGATTGGAGGCTAAACCCGCTTGCACTGGATATACAGGCCTTGAATCGGTCACATGGCACTAAATCCGCCATACTGGATGGCAAAAGAATGTAAAGAACCTCAAAAACAAAAGAAACGCAGCCCTTCAAGATTGACTTTTCTTTGTTTTGAAGGTTCCAGTGAGTATTTTGCCATCCAGTTTGGTGGATTTAGTACCGGCATGTGACCGTTTCATGCAAAAGACCTATTTTGAGAATAGTCAATACGTTTTTTGTTTTTTGCTTTCTGCAAAAAATCGCAACAAATATTTGCACAGATAATGTATGGCTGTCAAATATAAATTTACAGACACTAAAAATATTACATTTTTTTTGCATTCATTGAAACCAGGATAGTTGATCAAGCAATGCCCACGTTCACCCAACAAGAGCCTTTGCGCGATTTTCTCACATTTGAAAATTCGCCATTTTTGATTTTGAACCAATTGAAAATTACTTTTTAACAGAAGAGATAATTTTTAAAACACAAGAAAGCTCCCTTGGATTCCCGTGACTTAAATTAATCCAATGCACTCAGCAATTCAAACTGACAAATTCCGTACCTTTAAACGTGATGGACACTTAAAAAAGCTCTTCAAATTTGTAAAGTTYTCAGCTGGAAAATAGAAATATTATGATCACCCGAATCGTCCTAGCTGTCCCAAAACACGTTTTTTCATTGTTGTTAAATCCATTGAGGGAATTAGAATGGAAATACGCGTTTGGGACGATAGGGATGATAATAGGGACATTGGCTTGACGCTTTTGGCGAGAGTTCCACCATATATTCTACTTAGAAAAGGAAAATGACACTAAGAGCTTTACGTACCCATTGAATAGATGGATGCACCTTCATTCAAACCAACACACAGCGACTGTGGCTGATCACACGCTTTACTTTGATTCTGTCGTTCGCATTTTGTCTCGGTTCTGTCACTC